GCTGGAGTGCAATGGCGCCATCTCGGCTCACCGCAACCTCCGCCTCCTGGGTTCAAGCAATTCTCCTGCCTCAGCCTCCCGAGTAGCTGGGACTACAGGCACGCACCACCATGCCCAGCCAATTTTTGTATTTTTAGTAGAGACGGGGTTTCACCATGTTGACCAGGATGGTCTCGATCTCCTGACCTCGTTATCCACCCACCTCGGCCTCCCAAAGTGCTGGGATTATAGGCCTGAGACACCGCACCTGGCCTCATAGTGCTTTCTTTAATGGTGCATCCTATAACTAATATCATTTTAGATTCAGTGAATTACAGTCATAACAATTTACTGCTTTTTATGTATTAGATGCGCTACTTACATAATCTCATTTAATCCTTCTAGCAATTCTACAGGCTTATACAATTATCATGCTGTTTTACAAAAGAGGAGACAGAATTTCAGAGACAATGTATCTTGCCCAAATCTACCCAGCTGTTAAGTAGTAAAAGCAACATTTGAACCCAAGTCTATTGACTCCTGAGCCAAGGTTCTTAATTTTATGCAAATCTGCCACCTCTAGGTCCAAAGCGAATTAGCTTCACTATTACAACTTAACGTGATACACTGGGGTATATTTACTGTTAAGAGATGAGAGAATGGTCATCTCCCACACTGCAGTGAGACTGGCTCCTTTGAACTGAAAAAGACAGCAGTGTGTTGTACCAATTATTTAGTCTCGGCTCTATCAGGCATGTACATTTATATGAGGCTTCTTATTATAAGTAGAATATCAAGGATTGAAACCAATTATCTTTTCAGTTGTAGTGACTGGGAACAAACTAAACCAATGTGGGCTAAAAATAGTACATGTTGAAAATCTCAAAGGACTAGAATGATCTAGCTTGGAATAAGAGCTCTAATGGACAGAAAATGGGTATTTAATAAGGAAGTATAGTCAGAAGTACAGTTATTTAACTACAGAGCAGCTAGCAAGGAATTCAGAAGTTGGATGGGTTAGCATTAAATTAAGTGCACTGACCCTTGGGGGACTGTACCACTGGACTGCTGTATGGCATAGGATAGTAAATCTATCAGGGTCCAACTAGGGGCACTCAACAGAGGCAAAAGGTTTTTGTGGGTTTAATTTAAAAAATAAAAGTACAATGATGTGCTCTCTTGATCAAGGTAGGAGAAACAAGCTTTCACCTTCATAATTAGTAGAAGCACCAACTGATACATCCTCTTTGAGGGATAAATTTGCAACTATCTATTAAAATTCTAAAAAGACATATATCCTTTGTCCAGCAATTCTGCTTCTAGGAGTTTATCCTACAGACATATTCAGATATGTGCATAAAGATATAGATGTAAAGATATTCGTTGCAACATAATTTAAAACAGCACAAGTTTAGAAACAAATAGTCCATCAGTGGGGACTGGCAGGAAGTTGATTCCTGGACCACCACATAGAGCTTAATATCCCTTCTCTGTGCTTCTCGTCACTAACTGTTTTTAAAACCTCTAATGATGAAAGGATCCATTTATTTGTTTGTCTCTCCCTATGAGGTTACTGTTATTTCCTGCACTTTGCAAATGAGGAATCTTGGGCTCAGAAGGCCTGTACAGCCCTCCTATAAAGATTGAGGCAAAAGTATATAAAAAATGAAGTCATGAAAGGCGGTGGTGTGTTGGGGAAAGAACAGGTGGTCAGTGTGGCCATATAGAATGCATGGGCTCAATATGCTGTGACAGGAAGTTTGGACTTTAACTTAGAGGATTTAATTCAATTTCTTAGGGAAAAAGCCATAAGTGTGAAACCTATAAACCAAAAAGCATCTGAGACAGGTCTCACTCAATTCGTAGGTTTCTTTTGCCAAAGTTAAGTACCATAGCCCATGATACAGCCTCAGGGGTTCCTCAGAACATGTGCCCAATGTGGTTGTGCTACAGCTTGATGTTATACATTTTAGGGAAATAAAAGTTATAAACAAAAACATAAATCAATACATGTAAGGTATACATTGGTTTGGCCTGGAAAGGCAGGACATCTCAAAATCCGGTTGAAGGGGCGGCTTCTAGATAATAGGTGGATTCAAAGATCTCCTGACTGGCAATTGGTTGAGAGAGTTAAGCTATGGCTGACGAATTGAAGTCAGCTTGAGTTAAGGGAAGGGAGGGGTTGTGGAAGCCAAAGTTGTTCTCCTGTAGGTGAAACCTCCAGGCTTCAGAGAGAATAGATGGTGAATGTCTCTTATCTGACCTTAAAAGATGTCAGACTCTTAGTTACATCTCTTCTGGATCAGGAAAAGACCTGGAGAGGGAAGAGGATTCTCTACAGAATGTAAATTTCCCCTACAAGAGACAACGTTGTGGGGTCATTTCAAAATATGTCAAAGAAATATAGTTTGGGGTAAAATACTTTGATTCCAGAGTCAGGTTGGAGCTGATATCTTATTGCCACAGAGTCAGTTCTGTCAGTCTTTGGATCTCTGTTTAATGTTATGCTGGACAGTTGTGCCTATACTCCAAAAGAGAAAGGGTATAATTAGGGATGTCCAATCCCCCACTTTCCTTCATGGCCTAAACTAGTTTTTCAGGTTTCTTTGAAATTCTGTTGGCTGTGAGGGGGGTCCATTCAGTCTGTAGAGGGGCTTAGAATTTTAATTTTGGTTCACAAACCCAAAGAGATCCCCCTTTCACAGAGTAAAGTCAAGTTAAAAAACTGAGACTCCGGCAGGACAGAATGAAAGGCTGTAATCCAAAAGGAATGTGACTGGATTTTTTCTGTAGGTCTTCCTGGGAGATCAATAACAGATATCTTAGAAGATCATCTTGATCCTTCCCTCCTCTTTAAGAGCTGGGGTGCATGAAGGAGACAATGGAGTCTACAGGCATAAAAGTCAATTCCTCTTCCCCACACAGGAAAGTTAAGTCATGAATGACTTTCATTCTCACCAAAAAGTTCTTGTTCTTCCCCATTCCTCCACATCTTAGTTCTAAATGGAAGTAGATGGCAAAACAAGAACAAGGATGTTGGTGTTGCCAAAAAGCTATGAACGAAAGAGATACTGCCACCCCAGCTCGCCTTTGAGTAATTATTTCTCTTTTTTGTACTCTTCCAAATGATCAACTGGTTTTTTAAATGACCCGAGATTCTTTGATTATTAAGCCTCTTGCCACTACTGTTAGTCACTTCCTGTCTAGATCAAGATGGCAGAAACCTCAGGGGAAGAAAATCAGAAGGGGCAAAGAGCCTGGGCACTGAAATAGAGTGCAGTTAGCTAGGAAAGGTAGCCTTGGAGGAGAGTTCTACGAAGTGAGAAAAGCCTGCATCAGAAAGCTGGAAATCAGAGCCACAAAGTCTGTTGTAGACCAGGACAACAGTAATGAATTATAGGGACCTGGACATACCTTCTCAGAGTAAAGCAAAGATTCACTGAGATACGCTTATTTGATTCTTTTTGTCTAATTTTAAGCTAGCATTTCCTCCAATTAGACATATTGATGTCTTTATGTCAGGAATGCTTTCAAATATCCATCCCAAGTATCCAACAGGCTAAAGCACTTCTTTTTTTTATTTTTAATTTTCCTGGCAACTTTCATTAAATAAAGCACTTCTTAACAAGACTTCCATGTTCTGAATCCTTCCTACTTCCCCATATTCATTTCTGCCACCTCCTCCCTAAAATATACCTACACACATATACATAAATATACATAATTCTCCAACCATTTCCAATTATTTGCCGCTTCATAAACATACTAGTCTTTCACTTCTCTGTGTCTTTGCATCCTCAGCCTACTTGACATACCTCTCAATCTCTCTCACTTCTCCATGTGGTAATTCTTGCTCTTCCTTAAAGATTCAACTTTCTTCTCCAAATTCCTATAACATTTCATAGAGCACTTATCACATTGCATGGTAATTTATGTGTGCACCTGCCTGCCTACTTGCCTCTCTGTATAATTTCAGTGACTTTGTAGTAATAATATGGTGAAGAATAATATTAGGAAGAATAGGATGAAGGCTGTTGATGTTATTCTGGTTAATAACTAAGAAATAAATGGGGTTGTTTACTTCTATAAAGTAGAAGTAAAGGATGAGAGGGTACAGCTGTTACAGCTCTAAGCCTTAACAGTGAAACTTAAGAAGGGTATGGACCTGATGAGAATGAGACCTCCTGAGCACAAGTCACACTAGCCCTGCAGGGGATTGATGGCTCCAGTAGAGAAAACCATCAAAATGGGACTTTCCAGGAACATAACCCTGAAATTGCAGTGGAAATGGCTTCTCACTTTTCTTCTTTTAACTAAGTGACAGTAAAGTCACCATGCAGGAATGGATACTGATCTGTGCATATGTGTATCTTGGTGTGTTCATGTGCGTATCTTGGTGTGTGCATGTGTGTATCTTGGTGTGTTCATGTGTGTATCTTGGTGTGTTCATGTGTTTTCTCAGGAAAAAAGCTGCTAACAGGGGCCCGACGCAGTGGCTTATGCCTTTAATCCCAGCACTTTGGGAGGCCAAGGAATCACTAGGTCCGGAGATCGAGAACATCCTGGCTAAAACAGTGAAAGCTGTTTCTACTAAAAATACAAAAAATTAGCCAGGCGTGGTGGCAAGCACCTGTAGTCCCAGCTACTTGGGAGGCTGAGGCAGGAGAATTGCTTGAACCTGAGAGGCAGAGGTTGAAATGACTCGAGACCACTGCGCTCCACTACAGCCTGGGTGACAGAGTGAGACTCCATCCCAAAAAGGAAAAGAAAAGAAAAATCTGCTAAGAATGAGAATTCAATTTTGAGGATTTGTCTTCAAGTTTCCTCAAAAAGATTTCTCAGTCAAATGGTACATTTGTTTACTACGGCTAAGGTTAGCCTAGTCTGCCTGCTGCTACTGCAGCCCATCAGTCTGTCTAGCTACCCTGGGGCAGGGGGTGCACCGGGGTGAGTCAAACAGAACTCTGACCCCTTTAACAAGGGATGGGAGACCCACACAAACACCTTTTCCTCTCTAAAACTAAATAGAACCCAGGATTTATTTGAAGATGTAAACTCATCAGTAATAGGACTGAACGTCTTTTTAATATTACCAGAGAGTAAATTCACGAATCATTACACTTTGACCCTAAAATATTCTCAAGTCCTCAGTTACCTCAATGTACTTAAGTACCAAAAACTGCCTGTGCCGAAATATGTACTGGCTAGGCTTATCTGAAGGGCGATGGGTGACTAAACTCACTTCCAAAGGCAAACCACAATGTAGTAAGTAACAGGTTTCTACTTCCTTGCTGAATTCTGTGAGAATTCAAAGAGAATGCTTGTGGTTACAAACTGCTGTGTGAGGTTGAAATCGTCGGCCACCACACACATACTTCGTGGGTGCTCCTTAAAAAGCCACAGCAAAACGCAAGGATGCAAACAGATGTCTTTCAAAGGACTCCGCGTGGGGGGAAGCGGGAGAGACCAGGGAGGAATGAGCCTGCAGACGGGACGGTAGCCGCCCCCTCAGCTCTCTACAAAAGTGGTCTCTGGGGTTCCCGGGCTCACGGTAGAGTGGGAGGTGGGGGTCTCGGGCGTTCCCCTGAGCTCCGGGAGGGCCTGTGGCTCCTTTAATTCCAGGACCACCCGGCTCAGAAGGGCTTTGAGCAGCTGCATTTCTCGGAGCAGAAGGTCCACGTCGGGTTTCGGGGCTCCAGCCGATTGTTCCAAGGGCGTCGGCGGAGCGCAGGCGGGTGGCCCCGCAGTCGGGGCGCCGCCCGCCGGGACCTGCAGCCCGGTGGAGGTGGTGTTCGGGACGGAGGTGACCGACGGGACCGATCTGGACACCGGGGGCTTTCTGAAGGAAAGCGGCTTGTTACCAGGAGCCGAGGCTGCGGCCGGTGGAGCGGGAGCTGTGGTGGAGGCCGGGTCCAGGGGAGAACCTGTGAATGCATCGCGCCCAGTCACGCGCTACTGGCGTGGTTCTTCCCAGCGCTGAGCTGGGGGAGAGGGGTGGAGCGGTGCGGGGGATGGGGAAGGCCAGAAGAGGGGTGAGGAGGAAGGAGGCGAGGGAGAGATGGGAAAGGCGGGGGCGGGACGGGGACCGGGAGGCGGGGGAGATTCGAGGATGCAGGCCCTCACCCGGCCCCGGGAGCTGCAGCCACGGACTGCGTTTCCGGACACTGCGCGTGGCCGTAGCCACCTCGCACCAGTAAGATTCGAGCTCGTCGACCTCGGGCTCCGGGACAGTGTACTCGGCGCCCCAGTCGAAGCGGCGCACGGCGCGACTGTACTTATAGAACGCGAACTGCAGCGGCGTGTCGCGCTTCTGCGGGTGCAGGCGCGTGTCGCAGCGCAGCACCACCCCGCCCAGCGCCGCGCCGCGGGCCTCCCGCGGACCCGTCACCCTCAGCACCGGCGCCCGGAACAGCTCTGCGGAGAGGGCGGGGAGCAAAGGCGCCTGCTAGTCCACGGCTCCGCGACCCCGCTCCTGCCTGCCTCCTGCCAGGGCTCCTAGAGAACCCGCAGACCCAGACGAAAGGGGAGGAGGCCGTGTGCCCACGTGGAGGGGGAAGGAGAGCCTTCTGAAATGCAGGGTAGGGGGGCAAGGTCCACGAGGGACGGGGAGAGCTTGACAGGAAGAGGAACAAGCCAGACTCTTCTTGTCACATCCCCACTGACACTCAGCTTGGGTTCTGCAGCCTGGAAGAGGAGACGCTGCCTTGCAGGATGCTAGGGAGCCGCTCTTTGGTCCCAGTCCCACAGTGCCCCTGCCCCCGTTTGCCCCTCTCCTGGCTGTGGCTGTGGCCAGAGCTGCCCTCTGTATGGGAGTCCCCAGCCAGAGTGAGAAGCCAGGGTGTGCCTGGGGAAAAGGGACCAGCCTCCAGGCAGGCTGCGAATCAAAAGCTCCTTCACTGCGCAGGAGAGGAGGCAGCGTCCGCGGTCTAAGAGAAACTCGCCAAGTGGCAGCTATTTGAACTTCCGCCCCTTCTTTTCCCCCCGGGCTCCTGTCCCCAAATTTCCCAGTGCTCGTTTGTCTACCTCGCGGGGCCCCTGGTCTCTCCCACCTTGCACGGTCACAGCCACCTTAGCGGAGAACATGGGCGCGCTCTCTACCGGGATGCGCATGGTGCCCGAGCACTGGTAGCGCCCGCTGTCGCTGGCTCGCGCCTGCAACACCGTGTAGTTGGCGCTGGAATGGAAGTAGCGCACGGCCTGGCCGTCGTGGTAGTAGTGTAGCTTGTAGACCACCTTGTCGTACCAGCCGCGGCAGCGCAGGATCAAAGGCTCGCCCTCGAACACTGGAGCATAGGGCACTTGCAGGATCAGCCAGTCTGCGGCAGACACCACGGACACGCTTGAGTCCCCCACGGACACGCTTGAGTCCCCCACGGACACGCTTGAGTCCACAGAAAGTCCAGCCCTGGAGATCTCCCACTCTCACAGCCTTCCTGCTTTCTCCTCATAGCTCCTCTCCTTTCCCTCCCCACCATCTCTCGCTGCTTTCCTGAGGGGACAGGCCCTCCCTGGTGGTTGACACGCAGGAGCCTCATAGTGCAAGATATATTCCTAGGTGAGTGGGGAGGAAGGGGGATGGCTAGTCTTTCATTTAGCCAGGGAGGCAAAGATGCCAGAGACTTGGCTCCAGCCTCAGAGTTTTGACCACGAGAATCAACTATAACCCCCTTAGGATGGTGTCAGGGTCTTCCTGACTGGGTCCTGCTTACCTCTCCAGCACGAGGGCGATATTCCTCCTACCCCATTTCCTCTCTGCTTTCCTCACCTCCCACTCCTAACAGGCTAAGTTCCAGCCATACTGAACTGTTGAGAGAATTGGCCCTGCTCCGAGGGCAAGGCCTGTGTACCTGCTATTTCTTCAGCCAAGAAGACCTTCTTCCACCTGTTTAAGTTGAGGCCTGCTTGTCCTGCATGTCTAGGCCTTATCTCCCCCAGAAAACCTCCCTGACACCCCAGGACAGCCTAAGGTGTCTCCGACAGCACCCCGTAATTACCCCGTGATCATCAAAGCACACTGACATAGCCCTAGCACAGAGCAGATGCCGTTTTGGGTGTTGAACAGTGAGAAAGGGTCTTGCAAGTAATAGCCCCAGTCCACATACACTCTCAATCTGTGAGCAGTAATTACTCCTGTTGCACTCAGTATAATTATTGCTATCACTAACAATTTCCAAACAAGAAACCACAGAGTATGAATATGCAGTGTGTGTAAGTGCTAATCTGAACACTGAGTGATGTACTTTAAATTCTGAATACAACTGTGGCCCAGCAGGCTGAATAAGTTGATTTAATATTCCCTATGAAATAGCCAATCCTGTACCTTTTTTCTTTTTCTTTTCTTTTTTAGATGGAGTCTTGCTCTGTCACCCAGGCTGGAGTGCAATGGCATGATCTTGGCGTACTGCAACCTCCACCATCTGGATTCAAGCGATTCTCATTCCTCAGCCTCCCAAGTAGGCACCCACCATCATGCCCA